GGGCCTGGAGCCGCATTTTCCCTGTGCTTTCACGCTGCTGCTCTCTGGATCCTACCCCTGCACGCCTTGGTGGGACCAGGGCTCTCTTCAGAGGTCACACATCTCACTCTCGCCTTCGCTGAGAAGTCCTTCTAGAGTGAGGTGTCACTCCATTCCCCTTCACCTCGTTCTCAGGCCTGTGAACCCAAAAGAAAACCAAGACAAGCAGCAGGTGACTGCTCTGTTCCTTGCYGTCCTGGAGGGTGCAGGGCCCCGGGCCCACCAGGCCCTCACAGAAGAAGAAGGAAAAGCACAACAGCCCACAGAACTGGTCCAGAGATCTCTTGGTCCAGAGATCCAAGCAGTTCCGTGGAATAAGGGGGGACTGGAACCAGAGCTGTCAGTGGGACAGTGAAACCCATCACCCTCCAGCAGCGGGGATGCCTCCACCATTGTTTGTATCCTCTGACAATGGAGGGAGTGACTCATTCTTCTATATGTTGTGAGAATCAGGATTATAACTGTTTTGATCAAGCAAATCTTGGACAAAGATTTGACTTGATTTGCAGAGGGTGCAAGTCACAAGGCATCATAAGTTATTAGGATTTAGGTGATTGGAAATTATAAGCTAAAATATATTATAAATTCTATATTACACTACCAATAGGTAGTGTTGATTTGGTTTACAGAAACCTGTTAGTATTTTAATAAYAATTTATGTGCTACAMTTACCATAAGCTCCTSTTACAAAAATGCTTTCATTGYGACTACAATATAGCACCATCATTATTCTGCCAAAGATGATCTCTTCCCTTAGCATCTGAYGAAAGCCACCCACTGTGGATTCTGCTAATAAGAGCAGATATCTGTGTGCGCATACATGCATAGGGGCATAATTTGAGCAGGGAATTCAGCAAGTCTCTATGATTTGCCTGTTCTGTGCCATTTCTATTATTCCGTCCCCTTTTACCTTTTCTTACAAATACAGCAAAATACAGGCCTGGAAAAGAAAGAGACAATTGTCCACAGTGACACTTCCTTTGTCACTCACAACAACCGTCCTGGGTGTGCCTGGATGGAGCCCATGTTCTGTGTGGCAGCCCTGTGGTCCAGCTCTGGCACAGACTGGTGGCCAGAGCAGTGTTGATAGCACACCAGCATTATGACTGCTGGGGAACTTGAGAGCCTCAAGGTTTTCTCCACTTCTCACGCTGGGGAGCAGGCTGGRGGTGAGCAAGAGTCTGGGAGGGGGCACAGCTGTGACTGCAGAGCCCAGCTGATCAAAAGCATCACTCATACCACTGTGGTTCCATGCCCAGCAATAAAACTGGCGAGGGCTAGTACAGAATATGGATTTAACTCAAACAGCAATCACTTAAAGGCTAGCTGAGCATTGGTCTGCTGCCAGGAGGTGGTGACTGATCACTTTTGCATCATTTGCCTTTTTCTCATCTGATTAGCCGGCTCACCCAAGAGCTGCTCTAAACGTGCCCTCCCACTTTTGTCCCCAGCCCGGATGGGTGGAGCCTTGGCTGCCAGACAGGGGCAGCCACCACACAACACACAAGAGACCGCAGAGTACCGGCCCTGACAAGAAAACCCTGACAAACGACAGAGAAGGACTTGTACAGTGAAAACATGCACAGGTTTCACTCCCCATAGCCTACTGCCCAGAAACAGGTCTGAGTGACATTTAAAACCCCTGGAGTCTATGACAAGAGTTCCCAGCAAGGCTGCAAGCATCAAGTACTCTTACCAAGAAAGCCAAAAATGTGTTCTTGCACTAGGGCACTGTAAGTCAAAGTAAGGCTTACAGAAAAATGTCAGCTAAATCCTTCAACTTCTGCTATGCAATGGGGTATATTTTCARTTATTTCAAAAGAATGCTGCTGAGAGAGGAATGTTTCCCACTGGGATGAGCTGTCTGACCTTCAGACCAGAACAGAGCATTAAACCCCAAGCATTGCACCATTTTCTGTTCCCCTGGCTTTTGATTCTGTCAAAACGGAGGTGGTTTTTACAAAGCTATTGGAAGTTCATAAGCACTTTGGGTGCACAAAATGCAGCACACACAGGAASARTATTTCTGCAWTTTTCCTTCTGCTCTTTCYCCCATCTCATTCAGTTAAATGCAGTTGAGTGGGTTTCCTTACAACAATCCGAGAAACATAAACTTTCACTACATGTGAATTGCAACGCAGACTCCCAAGGAAATTTAAACATTGTGTCCCTTCTGTCAGACCATAAAAAGAAGGAGAAGGATGATCTTCATATTAAGATGTTTACTGGTCTGCTGTGATTAACAGTTTATCCTTATGTTCAAGACATCTGGAGCATAATTTATGAGCAAGGTTTGCATGAGAGTCAATGCCTACATTATTCTCTATTTGACCTGTGCAAGGCACGGTCTCCAAGAAAAGTTTCAAAAGATCAGAAGCACAAGCAATCTCTTGGCACAAGTAATTTTGAAGCTTTATTTACAGTGCTTGTGCATGGGGAAGGCAAAATTTATTTGAAACAAGCACTTTATTTGAAACAAAGATCTGATGCATAAAGCAATTGAACTGATACTATGATTAAATGTATTGCATGCCTGTTGTGTAACACTCAGGTATAACTTTGATATAATTATGTGGCCCCAGACTTGGGGATTAACAACTTAACTGCAAAGTTAAAGTAATGTGGGTTAAATGATCTTACATTTAAGAAATGATTCTACATTTAAGAAGTGTCTTTACCAAATAATGCAATACTGTAAATTCATTGTGTTATTGTGTTATAACATAATAATAGGCTCCTCAGGAAGGATAGACCGGGCAGACAAGTCAGGAGATGGATTTTTATATGAGGGAGGGTTTGAAAGGTATAGTCCCTGCAGCTGRTGATGACATGGTTGAGAGTCTCTGGGAAGGGTGAAGAAGGGTATTATGGTGTTAATGCACTATCAACCACCCATCTGAGATCATGACACTGAGGATTATTCTATAACGAATTAAGGAATATCTCTAGGTCAGCTGTCCTTGTCCTTATGGGGGATCTTAACTTTCCAGACATTAACTGGGAACATCATACCATGGACACAAGCAGTCCTAAAGCATGTTGATAATTTCTTGGCAGAGGTATTAAGGGAACCAATTAGGAAAGGTGCCCAACTAGGCTTGTTGTTTGGAGACAGGAATTAGTGGGCAAAGTGGTGTTTGGTGACTGGCTCAGTCATGGAGCACAAAGCAGCTGAACTTCAAATCACTGGTTTACAAACACAAGCATAAGAAACCATAGCATCTTAGAATAATTAAGGCCGGAAAGGCCTCTAAGATCATCAAGTCTAACCGTCAACCTAGCACCATGACCATGTTCACCATTAAAACATATCARGTGCCATATGCACATGTTTTTTGAGCACTTCCAGGGATGATGACTCCACCACTTCCCTGGGCAGTCTGTTCCATTGCTTGACAACCCTTTCCATGAAATGCTTTCCCTAATATCTAATGTAAACCTCCTCTGGTGCAACTACAGTCCATTTCCTCTCATCCTGTCACTTCCTATGTGGGAGCAGAGACTGACTCTCACTGAGTACAGCCCCTTTTCAGGTGGCTGTAGAGAATCATAAGGTCTCCCCTCAGCCTTCTTTTCTCCAGACTAAACAATGCTGTGGAGAATTATGTAAAAGGCTTTACTAAAATCTAGATAGACAACATCCACAGCTGGCGTCCCTCACCCATTAAGCAGCTCATTTTGTAACAGAAGGAGACCAGGCCGGTCAAGAGAGACCTGCCTTTCATAAACCCATGCTAGCCAGTTGTCCTGTACTTGTTGCATGATGGCATTCAAAATGATTGTCTCTATGACCTTCACGGGCAGTGATGTCATGCTGACAGGCCTTTAGTTTCCCAGATTTTCTGTCCAATGTTAAWATAAAATCATAAAACATCTACTCTCCTAACCAGGCCCTGACCTTTCTCCTGCTTCTGTTGTAAATCCATAACTCCACTATGATAATTTGGAGAAAACAAAAAAATCCTATTGTCTGTTCTATTAGATGAACATTAGTCCTCTTTTTTTTTTTTTTTTTTTTTTTTTTTTTTTTTTTTTTTTTTTTTTTTTTTTTTTTTTTTTTTTTTTTTTTTTTTTGTCTGTCTGCACACCTACAACTAAATAAAAAAGGGACTGTTTAAAGAAAGGACCAGACAGAAAAGCTAGGCAAGGAACCACCAGAGGCAGCCAAGATCACAGAATCATGGGATGGCTTGGGTTAGGAAGAATCTGGAAGATCATCTAGCTCTTGGTCTCTTTCATTTACCTGATTTTCTCCATCTGGCTTGTGCCTCTCCCTCTGCCTGTCTGCTGTCCTGCTTCCTCTTTTTGCACTCATGCAGCAGCTCCATGCACAAGGAATCCCTTATAACATCTTTCCACCTACAGCCTGCAAGAACTTCTGCACTTGTTTCTCACACCTTTCCATTTTAGTCCACACTGCAAAATATCTTCAGATTGTTGAGCTTTTTGACTGTGCAGAAATGGGAGAGTTCCTGTACCTGACCCAAGCCCTTGACAGCAGTCCCAGCAGAATTTGCTTTCCCCAGTTTTCCCACTCAGATAGAAGCGGTGGATTCAGAAGCTGTAAGCCTAAGATGAAAAGATAAGAAATCTTYTATTTTCTCAACTCCTAAGATCAAACTATGAGCTTCTCTAAAGCTTTTCTCTTACACAAATGTGTCAACAAATGCTTTTCTTGATTTTCATAAATATAACAAATTCAGAAATTATACCTTTTTATTAAAATCATATTTATTCTAACAGTGTCTGAAGAGCAGCAACTTTAGGCATGGTCAAACCACTCCTTCACTATGTGTRCTTGAGCATGTTGACCGAGTGTCTAAACCACACATGACCCAGCCACAAAGGTTGGAGGCCTCTAGTGAACTGAAAGCTGGAAGTGGTGATGTTCTACACCAGTGACTCCCAGGGGGTAGTGCATCTTCCCCTGCTGTGCACTAACAAGTGCCAAGCAAGGTGCATATGTATSATAGCAATATTTAAGGGAAAGGGGAGAACTAAACCGTATCTTGGAGAAGCTTGTTGTAAGCCAGCAAATTGCTCGTGGCTATGGCATTTTTCAGGCACTGCCAGAAGTAGGGCTGAGACTGAGGATTCGTTGGCCATTCCAAGACAGAACTTCTGCACAGCCTCTTCCTYAGCYGRACRTAACGGGAYTTCTGCAAAACCTTCTCAAGAAATATCAAGATAATGACATCCATTTTGTCATCTAGAAGCCGCTGATGAGCCATGTAAAATGTTGTCTTGAAGCTGCCACTYTTAATRTAYCTCTTGGTCAGCACAAAGATGGTCTTTTTGCTCAGCTGAATGCTCTGGGAAAGGTTGTCAAGGACTGGCTGTCCTGGGAGCCAGTCCCTTCCTTCCAGGCATAAATTGAACTGCCTGGCTTTTTGGTTTTCCAGCCTCTCAACCAGYTCTTGCAGCACCCACTCATTCACAGCTGGATCTTCACTGTCATAGGCAATGAAGGCATCGTAGCACACATCTGGTGCAGACAGGCGCCGATAGCCCTTGAGCTTGGCCGTGCAGTAATGGTAACTGTACCACACRTCCCAGAAGTAGAGATGGCTCATCACTGCCACCACCATAAGGCCAAGGAYGSTTGAAGCTGACAGAGCATACAGGATCAAATAGGACGTGTCCAGCTCACAGGTATACAGATCCAAGAAAACCACGCTYCTTCCCTTGTGTGCCCCTGGGCCAGCACAGGTCACGTCTGTGGCCAGAAGAGGAATGGTCACCTGTGTCTGATTGATCCACCAGACAAACCACACGGCCTCACAGTTACACTTAAAGGGATTSCCGTGCAACAGCAGCATCTTCAGGTTGTTAATAACRTTTTCAGGGAAGCTAGATTTCTTAATTATTTCAATCTTATTTGAGCTGAGGTCCAAGTACCTCAGCTGAAAAGCACCTCTGAGAAAATATTTGGTTAGCCGCTGAATGCGATTGTTTCGGAGCATCAGTTCTTGGAGCGATGAAGTGCAATTRGACAGTTCTCGGGGAACAGTTGTCAGAAGGTTATTGCTCAGRTCTAGAGTTACTAGGTTCCTCAGAGAGGGGAGKYTTCCCCAGATGAAACTCTTCAGTAGATTATTTGTTAAGTTGAGGATCTTGAGACTGGGAGGCATGTCTTCAAAAACAMGAGGWGGCAAAAATCTGAGYGAGTTGAAGGAAATATCCARTTCTTCCAGGCTGGTCAGATTCTTGAAGAAGGACAAATATCTATCATTTCCGTCCACCCAGAGAGCATCTAAATGATTTCCTCGGAATTCYAAAATTCGAAGAGATTGACTTTCCATTCCTCTATCAATCGTGGTAGAAATGTCATTGTCATTCATCATCAGCTTCTTCARATGGGCTAGGTTTTTCAAAAAATTAAGCACATGAGTAACACCTTCAGCCTCAAAATAATACTTATTGTTGCTCAGATCTAGAATTTCTAGAAATTTGAGCTCTTTGAAAGCAGTTTGGTATAACAAATCAACCCTGTTGTTAGAAAAATCCAGATATTTCAATCCAGACAAGTAAGAGAATTCRCTTCCATTTAAAGTCTGACTTATTGCATTMCCTGACAAGTTGAGACATYTGAGAGAGCTAAGTCCCCGGAAGTCTGAGGGGTTAACAAAAAATACATTATTTCTGCTTAAATCCAGAGTCTTTCCATAGTTAAGGCAATCWTCCTTAACTGAAGACTGGTAGGAAGAATCCTCTTTGTCTTTGGAACGGCAACTWCGCYCATAKRCATCATACCTGAARTAATGCATCTCTTGTYGTACTTGCCTGTTGTATTGTTCCAYTGAAATGCCAGGATTAGAGCAAAATCCATAGAAATTGCTTTCCCCAGAAGAAGGAGAAATTTTATTCACTGAGAGGTCAATGAACTTAAGAGCTGGGAATTCTTCAAACACTGTCAGGTCTGCAATTTTAATAAAATTAGTGCCGAGATCCAACATGGTGAGATTCCTAAGACCGAGCAGTGGSTGTAGATCTYGTGCTCTYAGTTCCTTAAAGACATAACCCTTGAGCCTCAGGGTTTCCAGGTTAGAGAGGGAAGAAAATGTCTTAGAAAGATTCAAGGAGGGAGAATACATCTTCAGCTCAAAATTAAAGGACAGATCAAGCTGYACAAGGCTGGGGATAAAYRTCAAAAACTGAGCATCTCCAATCTCCYTCATGAGGAAGTTTTGGGAGAGGTCAAGTTCTTGGAGATTCTTGATGTTTTTAAACCAGCTGCTGGGTATGCTCTCAAGAGAGTTACTGTGAAGTCGCAAAACTCTTAAATTTTCCAAGGAGTCAAAAGCCTTTGAATGGATCTCAATGGAGCCCTTGGGACAGGGAATGCAAGGATATGGGGCATTGTAGCAACGTGGGCAATTGCCACTTATGTCGAGAATTTCCAGGTTGGGAAGGGCCTTTAAATCCTGCTCTTCAATCACTTCAATCATGTTGTTGTAAATGTACAATTCCTTTAAAGTAGACGACAAATTGGGTGGAATGTGTGTTAAGTTGTTGGCCTTCAGGGACAGTATTGTTAAYTTTTTCAGCCCCAGAAAGGCTGTTTCCTCAATTTCAAAYGAAACATTGCATGGATTGCGGTAGTAACAGTTCTGTCCAAGATACAAAACCTCTATGTTTGCTAGCTCTGACAAGGTGTCTTTTTGGATAGAAAAGATATTGTTTGCTTCCAGGCTCAGCAGGGTTAAAGCAKCAGGAAGACCTCGGGGTATTTCCACCAGCTGGTTTGCATCCAAATACAATGACTTCARTCTTGTCAGGGCAGCAAARCTGCCATCCTCAATCTTCAGTCTGCTGGTGCACACCTGATCTTTGGGCCCCAGTCTGACAGGCACACAGTTGCACCTGAAGTCAATCTCCTGGAGGTTTTCAAGACGATCAAACGATTTTGGGTAGATTTGTGGAATATGGTTAATACTCAGGGTAATGTTGGTAGCATTTGCAGGGATCCCTCTGGGGATCTCTGTAAGGCGCCGGTCAGTGCAGTCCACTSTGACAGTTCCTTCTGAAGACTTAACATCACAGGGTAAAGTTTTGGGAAACCAAGCTCCTGACAGCAGCATTGGAAATATGAAGAGCAAGACAAATGGCAATGCATTTGACATCTTTGCACAAGGTACCTGAAATCAAGCAAATGCAGAGGTAATATTTTAATGCAAGGAAAATATTTAGCTACACACTCAGTCAGGCCAAATATACAGCTAAATTGGTGCCGTTGTCTCATACTGGCCAGGAATGGATGTGGAAGCAGGATTATAAATTTCAGGGGGCATATGTTGGTATTTCCTCAAGCATTTTTTAAAATGTTTTTATCACCAAGAGTTGTATAGTTAATTTAAATATCATTCTTTAAGGAATCAGTAAGTTTTAAAAAGTCTCCTGGAAACCTGAGATGGGGTGATTAAAGTCTGTGTCTCTGTGAGTGTTCTTTTTTTWATCAGAAACAAGACGTGTTACCCATCCTTCAGACTGCCATTGCATAATAATTTAGATGACCACAGTTATTTTTTCAAAGTGTATTCAAGATGGACCAAATCTATAATGACTTGAAAGCTTGTGTAACCTTTCAAAATTGCACTAACTGATGGAGTTCCTAATTAAAATGTAACATTATCATAAATATTCTTCTTCTAGTAAGTGTCAGAATGGATGTATAGTTGGCCTAAGATAGTCAATGGCTTCATTTCAATAAAATTTAATACCARTTTGCATTTTCACTTGTGCAATAAGGGCAGAGGGCTGGGAAAACAATGTATCAATGTGAGGTGGGAACATGAAAATCAAAGACATGTTTAAAATTGGGCTGTTCCATAAAAGACTAATAATCAGAGTAAACAACCAGAACAAAAATCCCACAGGCATTTCAAGAAGCTTCCAAAACACTCTCTCTGTCTGTCAAGCTTTTGTGGTCTTGCTGACTTTATAGATTCGGGTGTATTGTGGAAAGAGCCATAAGCTTTTAATATTTCACAGCTTACTAGTTRCTTCCTCAGCAGCAGTCAGTGTCAAGGAAGCCCTAGCTGGCAGGCTGCCAGCCTTGGCTTGTGTGGCACAGGCAGAGGGGCCATGGCCATCTTGCTGCCTTGCCCACCATCTTAACTGCTTGTGTCTGGTGCTGGTTAAGAGTTTTAAAGACAAGACACCCCACGAAAATCAACAGCCTCATTTCTCCCTTGAAAACCCAGTGGTGGAGGCTTGTTCAGCACATAGAGCGCTCTTAAACAACCAGGATTAGTTAAGTATAACATAATATTGGTAAATGTTAAAACCCAGTAAAGCAGGTGAGAATCAGATTATTAGGTAAAATGTTCAAAATACATGGAAATGTTTTTTTTCTCTTTAGCAGGGACACAAGAACATACAGAGACCTGCTCAAGCAGCCTGTGCAAACACTGCTGAGGTCTGCTGAAGATGTGCCCTGSAGGTGACACGGACTTGGAGGTGGAGTGACACTTCCTGTTGTACACCCTATTCATTTCAAGCACCGTGTCCCCTGCACAACTTTGTATTTGTGTGTTACTTAGAGAGCTATGCTAAATCTGCCTCTGCATCCATGTATGCAGAAGAGTGCTCTAGTGACCTGCAGGGCAGGAAACGTGACAGAAGCCAGATCAGGTCTCACACAGCACTGAAATTCTGCTGTCTTGACTGAGCAGCCAAATGGGATCACTTTGGGAATTCTTTCAGTCATCTTTGGAATTACAGAGCCTCATTATAGAAGGAAAAATGTAAAAGTCCACTGCAGACCTTGAATTCAGYGTACCCTGATGCAGTGATAGTGGTACCACAATTTCCTTGCCCATTCCCTGGAAACACAAAGAATGCCTACCCTAACCAAATGGCCTGTCCCAGCACCTGCCTGCCTCCATTTCTTGCATTAGCAGATTGATGGACCTCAGGGCCAAACTGGCCACCCAAGGCAAATGCCCATGGAGCACAGCAGAGAGCTGGTAGGGAAACCAAAAAGACTCTCTGCACTGCAGGACATGTCCCTCCATCACATGGGTGCCTTTTACCTTTATCTGTCGACGCACACCACAGCAGACCATGAAGTGCTGGCCGTCACCAGCCACAGACATRGAATTTGCAGTCACTGAAGCAATTATTGACATCTGCTGCACATCAAAGCCCAGCAGCCTTTCTACCTTTAAATGAAGGAAAGGATACTTAATTAGGGTCAAGMTTTAAAGATCTGATTAACCAGATTAAACCACTTTGTTGAAGCACTAGAGCAGGACATGGGCAAGGTGTGACTGCAGTCTCARTTGAAGACAAACTTTCTACATGAACTCAAATGCAGCCCCTGCACTCAGGCCCTTAATTTCAGGTGCTTACCCAACCAAGTTCCTCAATTTGCTGTCATCAACCTAACAGTGAAATTCAAGAAAGAGTGGGAAGAGAGAAAGAGACAGGGAGACAGAGAGAGACAAAGAGAGAGAGACAAAGAGAGAGAGAGAGAAAGAGAGAGAAAGAGAGGCCTCTCTGCAGGAACTGCTTGGTTTGAAGATTGAAGGAGATCTGCCTGAATACACACCAAGCAGAAATCAATGCTGCACATTTAGTTGCCTGAAATTATGTGTAGTGAATTTGGGCTTTGAAAGTCTTCATGAATATGTCTGTAGGTTTCTCAATAAGTCAAAAAAGACCTCTTGAGTCTTTTACAATGCTCAGGTTTTGACCTCTCACACACTGAARTATTTTTAGGAACCTGTGTTGTTGCAGAGCCAGCCTAGCTCCTACCATCTTTGTGTTCATTTCTTTGTATATCCTTCCCTCTTCTGATAATCCTTTTAATGCATTAGCTATTTTAACTGTAAAGAGTTACATTCTGATGCTGTATCAGGCTATTTGCATGTGTAAAAMCTTGTGTCCATTATAGTAACAGTACAAATAAAAAGCCTTTTAAATAAAAGCAAGAAGCAATTCTGTCTTGTGCAATGTCTTTGCAATGAGAGGCTTCTTTAAAAGCACAGCTAGAGTATGCTTGTGAGCTGCTCTTTTCTCTGTGATCTACACTTGGGTTTATCCGAAGTTCAAAAATAACTAATCCGATTTCAGCTGGCACATGCACTAATCCATAAYGATTTAGGGTATTCTTCAAATATTTAGCAACAGTACAGCTATGTGTCTCTGAAGGAAGTTCTTCTGTAGAGGTKCCACATGTATTTTAAGTTGTGACAGGAGGCAAGTGTAGAGAAAAAGAAACACCTCAGAATTTAAAGCATTTAGATAAGACATTATTTGTTCCTTCTGTAGCACTGCTGTACAATAAGTATTAGTGCAAATTCATGCTTTCCTTTCTGGTCATGATGCACTGAAGCTTCTAACAGTAAACTGGAACATTTAGAAAACAGAAAATAAGAATATGTTCTTTCAAGTCTTCCAAAGCAGTTTCAGTCAAAGATATCTATGAGCAAATTAAAAATGAAAGTTTAACGTACCATTTTCTCTGTGCTTCCAGGTCTGATGGGYTTAGTGATGGAAGAGACTGTAAAATGGAGCAGAAGAACACAGAATAAAAGTGGTTCCCACTGGCTCAGCTGAGGTGCAGAGGAGAATGCAAGATAACTCACTCAGGACAGGAGCAGAAATCACCACGCTATTACTATTCTTCACCTCGATTGCAACTTGAGAAATAATTGAATGTGAAACAACTGCTRGAACCTACTTCCTCAAACATTTGTATTTAAAACAACAGCACCTCATTTATTGCTCCACCCCCACAGAAATAACTGAGTACTCTTATTTTTTTCCCCYCTTTAAACAAATTCTTACATTACTCATACATCCACGTGCTTTTACCCTCATRTGCTGCAATTTCCAGTGTTTTACCTAGATAGACTGTCACATCACATAAAATTATAATCAGATCTAATTCAAGAAGGTTAACATCCAAGCCATGGGGAATTCCAAAGGACAATTGCAAAATATTTGGCCACAAAGTTTAAGATCACTTAGCAAGGAGACAAACATGTTACATAAGAGTAATCAGTCACTTCAGACTGCAAACTAAGATTTGCAGAAGCTCAAGTTCCTCCTTTCCCCCACCCCCTCTTTTTCATGTAAGTTGCATGAAGTTGGTAACTAATGTTAACAATAGTTCAGTTTTGAAAGTTGAGTAATTTTTGTAATTATTATTATGTGGCATTCATCCCTGATGCAAATAGCTTCAAGAACTGCAACAGTTCTAAGCTGAACACTCTATGGAAGAAATGTCTATTAAGTGAACGGGAGTTTGGGGAAGGGAAACAAACCAAATGAGAATAAAAATGATAGTGGCAAGGGCACAGGAAATGGCATACAGCAAGGTCAAAACTGTGTGGGCAAGTGTAGAAGGGCCAAAGTTTAAAATTATATGGATGGACTCAAGCTGAAGAGAAGCCAGCATTTCACAGAATACGGTGTCTTTCTGAGTTTCCTACTTAGAAGCCTCCATGCTTAGCAGAACAGACTAGTTCCATGRTTAGGATGTCTATAAGGTGGAGTTTGGTTTTGTTTTTTTTTTTATGTCATCCTTCTCTACATATTTTTCTTTACATTTTAAATTTAAATTCATAATTTCTCTGTCTGTGGTGGAGCTAAGAAATTAATTTCAGGTTATTGGAACCTTAAGAACGAACAGGGAAAGWATCTATAATCACACGTTCCAATTCCCTGTGTTTAGTGTCTGAATCAAATAGACATAAACAGGAAAACTGTAAAGTTGTACAGCATCACTGCCATTTCAATTAAGGYCTAGAAAAGAGCTTATTAATACCCTATATTAATTCAGGACTATTTTTCTCTGTGCATGAATACTAAAAGTACTGCAATGAAGTATGATTCTTCTGCTCTTTACTGATAAGCGGMTATTGCTTTTCATGCAAAATGCACTGAGGTTTTCATTGGGTGCTACCCTAACTAATGCAGAAATCTTACTAAAATCCTGCAGTGTGTTGAAAGGCCATTCAACACATTTGTCGTAGGAGGAAAACCTTCACTCCATGCTAGCAAACACTTTACACTAGCTACTGAGCTCTGAATATTTCGCTTTGTGTATGTCACCACATAGGAAAAACAGCTTTCACTCATTTATAATAATTGGCCCTATAGAAAATTTAATGTGCTTAACTAATTATGATAGAAGAGAATGACTTTGCACAAGCTGGACTGATTTCTTCAAGTACCCAGCCATGTCCCTGCACTTGACACCAGAACAGGAGATGCTTAATATCCAATTGTTTTGGTTACAAGTAAGTTTTCTAAATCAGTACTGTCATTCAACCCTGTAATTTTTGACAGGCACACTTGTCTTAGCAGATCTCATTTGAAGTCTAAACCCACAAACTTCAGATATTTTAATAACTGGACAGACACTCAATGCTTTCTTTTGGAATAAAGCTGTTTCTTTTTTATAGTAGGAACATGTTGTCACCCATCTAAGAGCACAGGAGTTTCAATTCTGTACAAAGTGAAACTGCAGCTTTAGCTCAACACTAACAGAAACATAGAGTGCACTTTTGTTGCTATTTTTTTTCTAAACCTGTGAAACGTTGAAAGCAAAATACATCAATATTTCCCTTTAAAAGATGGGAGTAAACACACAACAGTTCAGAACTTCAGAATATAGTTTGATTTTGAAAGGCACAGGGAGTCACTTATTTACTGATTTCCCTCAGAAGTAACACACAATCTCTTTTGCCTCCTGGGAAACATAAAGTAATGAAAAGCAAAAAAGTACTTCCTCCTGCATCACATGTGAGAGGAGGACCCACCGGTAAGAGCAAACGTATATTGYTGCTGCTGTGAGCGAGAATATAATTTAAAATAAAGCAGGAGTCCTTAATTGTCTTAATCCTTCACCTATGAGCTTGATTGTCAGCTGGCTTGTAATCCGATTGGTGAATTCATGTTTCCTWTTTTCCCCTTTGTCTTCTAAATGAAAAATGACAGCAAGTTGCTTTAGCTTAGTTTCCAAAATCAGGATTTCACTGAGTTAATCTTAAATCTGGATAATTTATTTCTGGTCCTAAAGTCTTGCTGCAATGTCTTTTCTCTAAAGTGCTGACCCTCATTGCAAGAGTGAGGACACAGCCCCACCTATTCATAATTAATACAGTATTYAGTGTAACATTGCATAGTTTACCCACGAAATTAYTCAAGAAAGCCAGTTATCTTGCTCAGTTTTTGAAATACATCAGCTGACTCTTCAAACTGATGTAGACAGATGTACGAAAAGAAGCAAAAAGAGAAATAGATAGCAAAATTGGGGAAATGATAACAAAATCACTTGCAGAAGCTTTAAAGCTTCTGTAGGGGTGATCTGTATACGCAATGTAAGATCCCTGCTGACAGCCATTGCAGAAATGTGTTTGCAGGCACTAAAAATAGCCAAAACAATAAACAGAAGACAGCACTGGAGGACAGTGGCCTACAAGAGCAGAGGAAGCACTCAGGGCTCTGGTGAGGGGGACACCCTGACAGATCTGCATTAAGAGCTTACCTAAACTGTGCAGGGTGCTGAGATACAGCCAAGGGAGCCACTAATACCACAGAAACAGACTTTGCCTTTCCTGAAAGCTCAGGCTGCCCCAGGCTACTCCAGTGCAATGACCAATTGTTTGGTTTCCAACAGGTTAAAATTGTTTTCTGAGAGCAAACATATCTAGCACTGCTGTTTTTGAAAGTGAGTTACCTTCAAGGGAGCCAGAGGGGATCCAGAAATACCTGAAATAAGATGGAGTTATTTTCCAATCTCTGGGGTCAGCAATGCAGCTATACCCCTTCTGTTTGCCCCTTCCGCAGGGGCAGGTAAGATGGAATAGCCACAGTCACCATTCCTTCCTTTCTCTGGGATTGATGAGAAGTGCCAAGGCAGCAGTGCTGAAGTGATGGTGCACAGYAATACAAACTGCTGGCAAATCATAAAATTGGCGGGTTCAGAGGAWTTTTGGCACTTTGAGAGGGATATCCTCAAACCCTAGTGTTGAAATTACTAGCCCAGTTTGAAGCTTCATACAGGTAATCCTGCCATGGCTTATGAAGTCATCTTCAGGCAAAAGCACTGATGGAGCACTGAAACTCTGCAGAACATGAAACTCAGACATTGCTGGACCTGAACAAATCACATAGCTGGAAAGCAGCTCCATATGAAAATAAAGGCTTAAGATTAGGGCAGGCAAGCAACTGTAATACAGCCCATACTAAACATACAACTGTGTTGATCAATATTCTGATTTATTATACCGTTTAATCCTGCTTTTTCAAAAATCGTGCATGACATTTTTATGGGAGAAGGTTACCACTCAACAGGTTATTTTGATAAAAAGGACATGGAACTGCTGGAGCAAGCCCAGAAGAGGGCCGTAAAGTTGATAAAGGGACTAGAGTATCTTTGCTGTGAGGACAAACTGAGAAAGTCATGGCTGTTCAGCCTGGAGAAGAGAAGGTTATGTGAAGAACTCACAGCAGCCTTCCAGTATCTGAAAGGAGCTGCAGGAAAGCAGAAGAAGGACTCTTTGCCAGGCACTGCAGCAATAGGATGAGTAGTAATGGATTCAAACTGAATGGGTTTAAAGTAGCAGAAGGACCAGGGAGCACAGAGCATTAAACATCAAACACCACACAATTTTCTGTTCCCCTGGATTTACTTCTGTCAAAACTGAGGTGGTTTTCACAGAGCTCGTGGAAGTCACCTGTAACTCTTCATAARCACTTTGGGTGCACAAAATGCATTACACACAGGAAGATTATTTCTGCAATTTTCCTTCTGCTCTTTCCCCCACCTCATTCACCACTTGAGTGGGTTTGCTTACAACAGTCTGATGCATAAAGYAACTGAACTGATCCCATGCATTAAATGTATTGCGTGCCCTTTGTGYAGTGCTCAGGTGTAAACTTGGCATAATTATGTGGCCCCAGACTTGGAGGTTAACAACTTAACTGCAAAGTAACATGGATTAAGTGATCTTACATTTAAGAAATTTCTTTACCAAATAAAACAATATTGAAAATTCATTTCTGCTGTGTTATAGTTCTGAAAATTCAGCCCTAATGAGAATCTCTGAGAACKAGTAGCTGAACTGAATTCTCACAAGAGTTTATATACTCTATTTCAGTATTCATCACTGAAAGAAGTACAGGTSAAATTCTGTTTTACTCATTTTCATGTAGAAAAAATAATTTCACAGAAGCAATAGAAAATTTTTCAGTGAAAAAAACACCCCAAATAGATTTATTCTCAGATAAACAAAAAAAAAATAGACTTTCTGAAGACTGATTTAACCAGAATGGAAAAATTCACTTTGTAATACATSATCACATTATTTTAAATCTATTCCCAAAGAAGCAAGTTAGGATGAAATAAGGCTATTTTTTTTATGCAGCACTATAGCAAGGGAGCATGTCTCAGGTATAGCAATCCTTTGTAATTAAAAACTGTAATTTCAGGTAGGAAACTTGAGTTCCTGTGGACTAGGTGCAGGAATAGTATTTTAATATATGTTACTCTTCTAACAGAAAGATGGAAACTGTTCATAATAGGATTCAAAGACCTAATTAAAAAATTACAATTTTGAGTCCCCTTCCCCAGTCCATTACCGACTGTATTACCCATACTTAACCATAATGTTTCCTATCATACAACAGAAAAAAATGTTTTCATGATGATTTTAATTCTCTAATGTTAAAGCATTCAAATTTAGTTCATGTACTGTAGTTCAGTGGTTGCACAGTCAAGTACTGTGGTATTTTGTAATAGGAACTTGAAGAAGATCACTGACTGTGCAGTTTGAAAAAAACAGTATTTTCAGATGCTTCTCAACCACAGTACAGACCAGTCTGTAAAAGTGTGTTTAAATTTTCTGTTTGGACTTGACAAAATAAACCTTTACAATATTAACAGGAAAGCTGTTATGAAATTATTTCTCATCATCAGAATCAGGGAATGCCAAAAACTACAGAGAAAAAAACATGAAATTTAAACCAAACTGCTCATGATTAAATCTTGGTTTTTATTTAAACAGTTGACATTAATAATATTGGGATATTACAACTGAAGACAGCAACTGTACAGAACAGATGTTAAGCRAACAATTTAATAGAAGGACAGCTTTACAAAAGAAAACAGCAGCCCCAAATATCTTGTGGGRAAAAAAAATGAACATTAAGTGTATCAAACAGTTAATATTATGTATATGTCAACAGTTTCTCAAAATTAACATGACCTTTACATATTGTTAGGGCTTACAAAATACTGTTCATGGTATTTAAACATAAACAAAAAACCCCAGCTGTTTGCCCAACAGATTAAYAGACACTAGAAACTCAAGTCTGTATCATTTAGCTTAACACAGAAAATGATCTTAGATGTGTACATCGTGTTAAGCTCTGTGAACAGTTTCTAATTCTGTATAGAAAAATGGATCTGATGCAGCAGTTTAGCAGAAAGTGAGAACAGGCACACAGGATGAACTTACACAACACACAAGACCTCCAGACTCTCAAGGGAATTCATAAGGTTTCCACAAGATGGAGATTTATTGCCCATTTACACAGAACAAATGGTAATTACAAGACAAATATAATAATTAAACATACAAGCTCTCGAATTGTACAAAGATACTAATTTCTCATGGTTGATGTGCGTTGTTAAAAACAGTGCTAGCTTAAGAGACCTTTGCAAAGATGCAGTGCAATCCCCTGCAGTTACAAGGGGACGTGACTGAACAGGTAAGACACAGATTCACCATTGTGTGTTCTTCGAATTGCCTCTGCCAGGATCATGGAAATGTCAATAAACTGAAAGAAACATTGAGAAAAACAATCTTATGGCATGCCAAAACCAATAAACTATCAGTTTATAAACAACAAACATTCCATCTACCTTTGTGCTGTCTTTTATTTCTAGGAAGTAATGTAACATTAAAGATTTAGGTATTAAACATATACATAAGAAATTGCAGTAATACCAGGTTAGAATTATTGAATGGAATCACTGAACAGTCATATTGTTGAGGACTTCTGACAAAGGCATGTTGCCAAAAAGCCATTCTATTCTTGCCATCAGATGGCAGTGTCTGCTTGACMCAAGTACAATTTAAAGCAAGTGCTTGCCTTGTTTCAATAAATACCAAATAAACAGTGAGCTTAAAAAAATCCAATAATACATTTAAGCSCTCAATTTCTTATGCTTTTCTCCACTCTGTACTAAGGAAAATCTCTAAATGGGACACATGACTTCCCAGAACAATTCCACTAGTGTTTTTCAAGAAAAAAAAAAATTGTCTAAGATTTCTACGGCCTTCTCAACAGAATATCTAAGTTCCTACATGCCAATAGTGTATGATTAATATTTATCAAGAAAAGAAGAGAAAAAAACCCAGTCAATTTTACATTTGTCACACTTTCACAATCAAGCATAATCAAGGTGTGGCAAATACCAAATATTTTGCAGTGGTCTACTGTATTACCTGAATCCCCTTAAAACAGTTTAGGAAAATGTTTTACAAACTTATTTAAGAATATTAATTTCCTCTCAAGGCACAAATACAGCACCAGTGAGCAGTRAAATACAAATCCTGAGTTTAAAGACATGACACAAAATACCACKGTACCTGTATTCTTGGGCAATGTTTCATTTTCTCCTCCTGGGGGATTGTATTGGTTACCACAACAGCCTCAAATGATGCATTATTGATCCGAGAGAGGGCAGGACCAGAAAAGATGCCATGAGTCAGAATGGCATAAACTTTAGTTGCTCCAGCAGACAGTAACCTGCAGAACACACAAAAATAGCCTGCTGTGATGCATGTTAACGTACATGGTTATAGATGAAGCTGGATACACATCTCTGAAACACATTTTACTTGCCAAGTTCCACATATAAYACATCTACAAAACAATTCAGATATTTGCATAACCTGACAAAGTTTGAATTTTTACAARAAGTCCCCAACAAAAATTATAATTAAATTTAAAAGTTCCTACTTGCAGCAGTGATACTAATCTAAAATGCTGCACTTTTGACCATATCAGGACAACATAAAAATGAATGCAGTACAAGCTTTCCATCTTAACCAAGCAAAAAATTAAGTAGGTTGGATGGCAGTATGCACAACTCTATTGTGCCTCCATTATTGTCCACCTTTATTTTCATTTGCAATTCAAACAGTTCTGCTTGGAAGGAGTTTCTGAGGAAGAAGTAATRTTAATGATTAACAGCCTAGCTTACTGCAAGGTTGTGGGAAGACATACTGCTGATCCAAGCATGCTGTGAAGTGAGGCATRAGGAGGAAAAAAAGTATAAATCAAAGAACTAGAACACCTTGTGAATGAGTCAAAATATCTTAAATTAGTTTCCAGTGGCCTCAATGCCTCCAGATGCTCAGCTATGTCCTACCTGCTTTTCTAGTCTTAGAGGGCCTGAGGAATGGCATTTTATCAGATCATCATAAAGGCACAGAAAGAAGAGAGAAAAAAAAAGACAAAACCACAGAAATATCATCTCATTTTGAATGACTTAACAGAATCAAAGTTTTCTGGTCATTCTCAGCAATACATTTAGTAGCTGCAGCCTACAAGAGTATGCATTACAACAGGGGGAGTGTGTACTTGAGTTTGTATATTTTTCTTAGTTCGTCTGCTTGACATGCATCTAGGTTGCTCAGATAAAGAGTCCTCAGAAGTATTTTGGTGAGCAAAGTCTAATTATACACAAAGTGCAGCCCACCTGGATTTGACATTAATGAAAAGCACTAGCTCATGCCAAGAACATGATACAAGGCAGCATTACTCAAAAAAAAGCATCTTTCTTAGTAAACACTGCAGATACATTGAAGGTGATTGACAGTTTTAGAGTTTGGTCTCTAGAGATAAACTATATGTAAATAAAGATGCTTCTTTCAAATCAGGAGAAAAATAAAGGCCTTTTTGACAGGAATTAAGTTCCTCTATGCAGGGGAATATAAAAGAAAATTGTTGGCTAGGCAATTTGTGATTTTGGTCTGCAAAGAGCACAGCCTAGAAGAATACTTTGAGGTGTGATGTAGATTAGAATGTAGATAGCAAACAACTACACATCTCTTTGCAAAACTTCATCACATTTCCATGAAAGGGAAAAGAAACACAAGACTATACGAATYCCTCTTCCATGAGTTTTGGACATCCTTTATCTAGGTGCAAACAGCAAATCTGCAACTAAAGATTGTAAACTCATGGTATTAACTTTACTTCAAACCACCAAGAACAATGTCTAGCTCACTTAAACTTCACCATGTAGCTTTCATACAATTTCCCCCAGCATTCTCCTGTAGAACTCTTCATCTGAGAACTCTTCACCTAACTTTCAATCAAAAGACAGGAAAAACTTATTTTCACCTCTCCAGATGAAAAGGACAAATAGTTTTATGCTTAAGATGACCATTGAAGATTGATATTAGATTTGCATTGAACACTAAGGAGAAAATACTTTACAGTGTTAAATCCAGTAAAGCTTTGTGAAAGATTGCCTAAGGAGAGTGGAAAGGCTCCATGATGAGGTTCAAGGAGGGGAATGGTTTTTGATCTGTTGTTTCTACCTTAGAACTGTAAAGTKCACTAAATGGCCCAAGTCCCTTTCAAGTTATATGACATTTTATTTATTCTGTGCTCTTCCTAAGTACAGATAACATCTTTCTGAAGGACACAGCTTAATCACAGAACTGAGACCTATAGACTCAAGGGTCAGAATGACTTCATGCTACAGAGGTCAGGTTGGGTTATAGGCTTTGAGGACAACTGCATTCACCAGCTGCCKACAGGTCCCAGCACAGTGACACAGTGGCCAGATCAAAATGATACTCACTTGTCTGCTGCATGGCATATTGTGCCACATGTGTCAGCCATATCATCCACAAGTATTGCTACTCTGTCTTTCACGTCACCGACCAAGACCATTCTGTCCACTTCATTTGCCTTCTTTCTTTCCTTATGAATGAGAGCAAATTCCACATTCAGTCTGTCAGCAATTGAAGTAACCCTAGGTTACAGAAAAAAATAAAAAACATTTAGAAAAAAAWTTTTAAAGTAAAAACAGTCATACATATGTATTTGTTACAAAATCCAGTTTTTGTCCTCTGGCTTTCAAATTACCACAGCAAAAAYTTTTGCAAGGAATGAGACAGGTAGAAACAATCTTATTTCATTGCTAATAAATTCAACCAAAGGGTCTTAAGCTATATACCCCTAAAATAAATTTTTAATTGAGTTGATTTTGGTTTTCTATCTTAAGTGCCTGGCTTTGAAAACATTTCAGCTATTCACAAGCTTTTTTAAGCTGCTGCAATATTAGTCACACTAGGTAATTCAAAGCAGAGGGAAGTCAATTCTAAGCCTACGGGAATGTGCACTTTAACATTCTAACTGAAAAATACCATTGCAGGATTTGAAACCAAGCCAAAGGGAAAAAAACCCACAAGTTAATAGTGATTAATAATTCTTTTTACAGTACTTGACTAGTAATTTTGTAGCTTACTTCATTAATAATTCCCTTAGCATACATCTGCTTGACCAAGGTATTTTAAAACTCTTCAGGGTGACCTCTGGTGGCCAAACTTCCAATAATAAACTTGTTACAGACTTCTGATTGCTTTTTTTTTCAGTTTTTTTTTAGTATAATAGAGCTCTTAGGTATAAAGACACAGGAATAAAAAATTCCATGCTTTTTTCTAAATGCAGATACAACCTTGTAGCCTGTCCTTTTAGACTATGGCTAAAATGTTGTTTACGAGGTAATTAACATGCACACTTARTAAGAGAACATTTTCGTTTCTTTACCACTTAAATATGAAGTTTTTAGTTATGGTATTTCAACAGATAGATGATAAAAAAATCCAAAAATTTTGGCATTTTTTATGAATAGGGTAATTTCWTAGCAAGTCTCAATAACTCAGGGGCAATAAGTTATCAATAAAAATTCCATGCCTTTTTTCAGCTGCAACATCTAATATGATGGAGAAAATCAAGCCAATGGAAAAGAAAGAGAATRCTAATATTTTAAATAAATGGAAGAAAATTGATTTTTAAACATTAATATTTATAGCTTTCAATTTTAAGAAAATTCATGTCAAATTTTCCCATTCTATTAATTTTTATTAAGTTGTATTTTGAAGTTTTACATATTTTAAATGAAGAGGCAAAACAATTTTCTTTTCACAGGAAGTGAAGCTATGAATTTATTGAAAGCAACATCTTCTCCTACTTCACAAGAAAMCAGTTGGTTGTATTACAACAGAAAGATATTAAAGATAAACTGTTTGCATCTATATTAAAAACAGTGAGTGTAAGCCTTGAAAAATGAACTCCTTCGATTAACTTTATAATGGACAAATACTTGGTAGRGGAAAAGAAACCCTTCTTCTGACTTGAGTTCTAAGCAAAGATCGTATTTTTTTCTTTTTAAAAAGCAAAACCAAACTAAAAACTAACCAAAAAAACAAAAAAAAAACCCCACCCAACTGCAAAAGTATTCTGATGGGAATGAACAAAGAAATTTAACTAAGTAATCTCTGGAATGCTTTCTATGTTCTTCACATCCTTGACCTGATGAATATAAAAAGGAACAACTAGGAGTTATTAGTCTTAGTCTTCTTTCCCTAATAATCATTACAACATGAACATTCAYAACAGACTGAAGGAATGTCCTGGAAGCTTCAATTAAAATCAAATTATGACAATCTTWCACATTTTTCCCCTTGCTACATTTCAGACATTTAAAGTGCTATGGGCCTACAGGATCCTTATTTCATTTGTCTTTCTTCTCTCTGCAGCAGCAGCATGAGCCATAAAACGTGAGATTAGGCATTTTGCCTCAATGGCATGCTTTCTGACCTCACCAGCCAGTGTGTTCTGAGCCTTGGCATTGGTTTATACACAATCAATACCAAATAAAACAGAGTCTGCTAAATGAGAAACACATGCTCTGAATGAAGAAAGACTCCAGTGAATTAAGTTTTCTATTTTTACCTTTCACCGCTTTCACTGCTTTCATTCCCTTTTTCTAGTATTTATAATGCAGAACTTGGGGTCAACAGGTTTACATGTAGAATGCAATGAATGTAAAGAAGAAAGAAATACCAGTCAAGCAAGCTCTTACCTAAGTGCCAGCAGGTACAGTGGGAATAGGCCATATGCTTGACAGAGAAGGGAAGCTTAGGCAATTCCAGAGCGAAGCAGGAAGAGGCGCAGTGGACTAAAGAAGCAAGCAGCAGAAAAATTTCTTCCCTCTGGTGGAGGGATTCAGCTAATGAAGCCATATCCAGGGAGAGAGAAAAATACCTTCTTTAGAGTATAGAAAGCTCCTGATTGTTTTCAAGCATGAACAACTTTGAAAGAACTAGTTGCTCTGTTTTTCTGGTGCAGTTGGATTAATCAGTGATATATGCTGTAACTAGCACAATTCATAGAGTAATATAGAAGACCGGACAAACCAGATTATTAAACACTAACTATATGTAAATCTAATAGCTTTAGGCTTGTATAGTACCTTTTTGCACCACCTGCATCAGGTGAGACTATGATACAGTTTCTCCATTCAGGAATGTTCTCTTTGATCCACTGCAGGACTGCAGGTTCTGCATACAGGTTATCTACTGGAATGTCAAAGAAACCCTAGTCCAAAAGAGAAAGAGAGTTTCATGAATATGTGTTTGTATCTTGCCTGGAATGAAGACAAAAGGAAGGAATCAAACCTTTGCCTTTCATGAATGGTAGAACTTCAATTAGTATTTTACACTGGCCTAGTTCTGCATCTGATACTGCTGTCAAATGCTGCTGAAGTCAAATAAATATCAAAGTCTCTAAAAAATATCACCCAAGAGTAGTGAAACAGAAAACAGATCTTCTCAATTGATAAAAAAAATCAGAAAAGATGATCACCTTCAGGCACTCAAGTAAATTTGTGCTAGTGAAAAGCTCTCAAAAAAATCCAGCAAATAATACTCAACTTCCATAAATTTCAACTACTTGACATGAACAGCAGCATTTCAACATGGSGAAGACTCAAGCTAAAATGGAATCTTTGTGCAAGTTGTAAAGACAAGAAATCTCTGTTAGACCTTTTTATTTATGGGACAGCCATCTAGCATAATAAGAAATTCTGATTAAAATGGAATGTCAGAAGTGGAAGATACCATATTTTGTACATAAAAGTAAGTTCTCTTAAAAMAAGGTACACAGGAGAATGACAAATGATGTGTGCTCTGTGTCTGAGGAAAAGGTTTTGTGATTTGCTGTATTCAGCAGTAAGCCAGATAAGGGCTGCCAGGCTCCATCTCCACTTCTTTTAAGAGAGTATTGTACCCTTGGCTGTAACAACAAAACTCTACCTAGGGCAACACTATAATCTCTGACAAGGCTAAGATTAAGAGAACTTGCCCCAAGCCAGTATATTTTATGCTCTGGAAGCTCTTACATTAGACTTGGCAAATTTTACTGAAGACTCCAAAACACAAATATCCGAAATAACTGCAAAATCACCCCAATAAATCAAGACTGGTCCCTTTCTAGAAGGGAATGTAATTAGAAACAGGTAGCAAGACTTCCTCTGAGCCCTGAAAGTTCTGTAGATAACGTTTCAAAATAATGACAAAACCCCAGGGAATAAGCATTAGCCTGCCACAAGAATTCAGTAGAGTTTCCAGACACAACTGGCAAGAGCCCAGAGTTACCTGGATCTGAGAAGCGTGCAAGTCCATGGTGATGATGTGGTCAGCCCCTGCAACTGACAGCATGTTGGCAACAAGCTTTGCAGAGATTGGTGCACGGCTCTGAGGAACAAAGCACAAATGTTCGCATTTTAAAACCATTTCRACTAGATGTAAGGAGTCAGAAGAYTAGTTATTTACTTTTATTGTTTTTTCCCTTTACAGTACTGGGAATCTAGATATGAATAGCTCCAGAGCTTTAGCCAAGCTAGCCTGTCAATCTTGCTACTAGGGTTTTGAAACTCAGGAAAACATTTAGGAATATCTAAATCAGTTTGCACAGTCTGCCTAATAGTGCTTTGTAATAAWCAGATAAAATTTGGGATGTAGTTTTCCAATTCTTCTATTTAAAAGTTTCAGCTAGCTTTTCTATAGCAGAAAGGCAATCTTCATTTYTCTATGCCTCTACTCTACATAAACACCCAACTCTATCTTGTTYTAAGAAACACTGCAAAACCCAAAGATCGAAGGCAAGATGAACCCAACTTTTGAGAACACTGCTTTAAAACAATGTTAGTATCAAGCATTTCTTCATGACACAGTGAAGCTTGTAGCAGATTCTTGGTGGCAGAGGTGCTCTACCCTGGCTTTTTTTTTTTTTT